ATATATATATATATATAGAGTAGAGCATGTAATCAGTATCTATATACATGTGTCCCGGTATATATAACATGGTTAGATATTTTATACATATATACACATCAAATATCTATCTCCCGGACTCCCGGACTCTGTTTTTGGTTACCACTGCCAAACACACATGCAGAAGAATAGATATACCGTGTAACAGCAGTCAAAAACACACGTACAAAGCAACATGCAACTGCGCAGCAGCATCAGCGAGGGAAAAGGGTTTAGAGGTGCAGGCCTTGAGGGCTGAAGCCGAAACATCCGGATTAGGAGTTAGGGTTAAGGGTTTAGTGCTGAGAGTTTTAGGGTTTAGGGTCTAGGGTGCTGTTTCACTGTTCAAGGTTGGGATATAGACCCATCGCTGGACAGCGACTCCTGTGTGTGAGCATCTACCCTAAGGAGCATACCAAACACTCTGAACCTCAAATCTTGAACCGCCGCAGAGACGCAAGCATTCTGGATGCAGTGCCAGGGAAATGGTATGAGCGTCCGCCAATGATCTACACTAATGCCTTCAAGTATTTGGGGGTTTCTGAAAATAGGGGACTCTAATGTAGCTCCCCAAATAGTAGGATCCTTTTTAAATGGACCCCCCAAAAGGTACCCCTTATTTTCGGAAACTCCCATTTGCCTACAGTAACATCAGACTGAAGGTGTACCCTCGGCGGCCGTGACTTACCAAGTTTCTGCCCCCCCTTGGTCGGCTTAGAGTTTTTTTTAAAGTGCAGTGACTCCCTTTCTCCACAGCAGCAGAGGTCAGAAGCCCACCTATAGTAGGCGTACACTGGGCAGACACTGAGGGAGGCTTAGAGTTTAGGGTTTAGGGTTTGCTCTGTAAGGCAAGGTGTTGAAGGCTTGCGTGTTTTGTTCACTTTACACAGCATCCATCCCAGCCAAACGGGTATCCGTTGTGCACGGGCCCATGAGGGCTTTCGTCCGAGATGGTTGCTTCCTGGGATCGGGAAAGACTTTAGTGATTCTCGTGAGCTTCTTTCTTCAATATCTTGATGATCTGATCGGCTGACATGTTTGAGAAAGCGACAATGCCACCAAGTCTGCCATGAGAGCTGACCATTTGGCCAGCAAGTTTGTCCTGGAACCGGGCAAACACCGCCTTCTCACCATCATCAAACATGCTCAATATGGTGAACCGTCGTTGCAAATCCACATCTCCTCGCAGGCCTGCCAGAGAATTGACGAAGAGAACGACACGAACGTAGTCTGGCGGTGTCCATCTCTCTCCCAGGGTGATGAAAGCGAACTCCGAAACTTTGACCAACACCGCCATCAATGCGATGCTCAGAAGCACAGGAATCAGAACACATACGTAGGTGTAGATGATCACACGTGAAGCAAAGGCCTTCCAAGACCCCATCGACTGCAGCTTGGCCATACAGGGTTCCTTTGTCAAGATCTGCTTTGCCCCCGTCCACACAACTGCTGGGTTTGCCAGTGTCAAAAGTCTCATGGATGACAAGTTAGATGCCAGGCGAAAGCAGTGGATGCCCCTGGCAAGACAGACCGGGATTCTGTCGTCCGACACCGTGACCCAAAGGATTAGAAAACCGAAACAATACATAAGGTTCACTAGCGCAGACAGGCCTTCACCATATGCCACTATGTGCCTCTCAAGATCCCACGGCTTGTGAGGTTCCCTCTCTGCGAGTGTTGCTGCAGCGTAGATCACAAGAGCCAGATTTCCCAGAGCTCGTAGCAACAACCAGCCGAAGGCGAGAAGCTGACCCCATGCGAAGGGGTCATCAACTGCAGCTCTCACATCAGCATCGCTGACCTCTGTGGACAGCTGGCAATGCAGCACTTCCAACTCGCCAAAATGGCTTTGCACAAAATCAAACTGCTCTTCAGCCGCGGCATTCTTTGCCGCCACCAACATGCAGATAAGGCAGATGCCCAGAATGCCTAGAAGCAAGACTGCAGCTTCTAGCGTTTCGACAAGCAGCTCGTCGCGGTCTCCCAGATCCCACCGGGTCACCAGTGAGGCATCGAAGGCATGTTGTCGCATGTGTTCACCAGGACACGCATCAACAGGGGAAAACGAAGGATTTTGCTCGGCCGGATGCCTGAAGGCTCCGAGAAAGGCGACGGTGTAATTTGGCAGCATACTTTAATGTTCCTAGCCCATCGCCCTCTTCAAATCTGCCTGAAGTCTGTTGTGTCAGGCCATAGGCGCGACTCTCCTCCACGCCAACTAAGCGATCCCCTGACCCACAACCTAGAACCCTCACCCCACTTGCCACAGACTCCAACATGCCTGAAGTCATAGAGCCCTTGAAGTTACGGATGGCCACCACAAAAACTATTAACTACTGGAGGCTTGGAGTCCGTGTGATTTAACCGGACTCCAGCCAGATAGATTGTGCCACTATTGAAGTAAGGGGGGTTTACTTGGAGGGTCGGGGGACTTAGTAAGTAGTTATTTTATAGACTTATAAGCACCATTACCCAAATTAGGATCCCTTTTAGGGTACTTCAATCTCTACTTAGTATCTACTTACTAAGTCCCCCGACCCTCCAAGTAGGGTTATGATGAAAACTCTTGGCAACTTAAACCCCAACCCGAGACCCTCCAATTCTCCAACCCCGCCTCTGCGCGCAAACCCGTGTCCGCGTGGTTTCGCAGGGCATTGCGGCCTCTGTTCCAGGCCTCCCGAACCTGGCGTCCAGGGATTCAAGGCTTTTTGGGGCTCAGAAATTAGGCGTTTCAGGGCCTTGGGTTGTAATTATGTCCATGCATCAAAGCATAATTAGGATGCAATCCCAGTCGAACTGCAGCGATAACTGCAAAGGATGTTGAAATTTCGTCTGCAGGGCCTTCCCCATGCTCTGGCGAGCAGGCTCGATCTGTTTTGCAATTGGCTAGGCAGATATTCTTGTGTCTTCCTGTCAGTTAACACTCCATTAACACTCAGTTAACACTACCGTCAACACTACAGTCTACACTTAACACTGCCAAAATGCTGCAAAAACAACATGTTGCTGATTTTATGCATTGAAGACGCAAGAAGCCTAACTTTATTGCTCTGAATGTTGGGAGGGGAGAGAATGCCGGTTTTGTAGCATTTCGGCAGCATTAACTGTAGTGTTAACTTGGCGTTAACTGAGTGTTAAATGTGGAAAACATAGAAAAGGCTTGTATGTCATGTTGCCGTCCAAAGCCACACTAGGCATTTGGCCAAACCACCAAGGATTGTTCCCGTAACAGGGATCCTGTCAGTAACACAGTAAATCAACAATAAAGGATAATAAGTCTAAGAAGAAGTAGATTCGGGTTTGGGGGGTATACTACAGTATAATAAGTTGACCAGGATGATGGTAATAAGGAGCCCTATGGTATCATATCAGATATAATCAGGCTTTTATTTTAGGGGTGCTACAAGACTGTATGACGGATACTAGGGTTAGGCTGGTCTTGAGGAAGGTGAATCGGAGATTGGGCATCAGTCGAGCTTGTTGATAGTTTAAGTTCGTTTGGCATACCACCAGATCACTAAGAGTGTAGGGCCACATATAAGGCTGCGGACTTTCCCGTTTATATATGGTTTATATATTCTAGTTTTCCAGTGTGTGGGGTTTACATAGGGTTTAAGGTTCTTTGCGCTCTCCGATTTGCTATATATAAGCACTAATGCTCAAACCCGTAAGCCCTTGTACGTACCTCAAACGCTACGTCGCCCTCCCTACCTCCAGGATCCCTAATCTCTAATGCCAAGCCCTGAACACAAACCCTACCTTTGCACACACACACACACACGAACGACCACTAACACTGAAGTGTCCCCCCATAAACCCGGCCATGAGGGATCATGGAGTCCTTGTAAGCCTGACCATCCTAACACTGCCCTGACCCACCCTGATGCGCTTCCAAGCCAAGTTCAGCAGAGCTACTGATCGGCCCGAGAACAGATGCAAGTAGAAGGATCGGCAGAAGTCACCTGGGTCGGCGTGTGAGGCTTCCGTAGCCTGTAGCTTGGCCCAGCGGCCAGACAAGCTTCGAGGAAAAACAAGTGCTGCTGGCCAAACCCCCTGGAGCCCTAAACCCCAAACCCTAAAATCCCAAACTCTGAACCCTGAACCCTCGGGCCCTGAAACCGCAAGTCGCTCCAAGGCGTTTGGTTGGGGATGAGAGTTCGAGTTTTTGTTGACGGCTTTTTCGCAGGCTTAACGGTTTATAGCTATGGAGCTTGAGGATTGCAGGATTGTCGCGGGATTGGGCTTCGGGTTTGGGTGTTCGACTTTGGGATTTAGGGTATCTATGGGTTTTAGGATTTCTGTTTAGGGCTTAGAGGCCTATTCCTGAAGACACAGATGAAGCTGGCCGCAGCATATGCACTCATGGCAAGCAGCTCCCAGTTGTTTCCTAGATCTTTGGCTTGTGCTATGCTACGAACCCGAAACTGCTTTTGAAGAATGAAGGGCACATGTAGTGAACGGAGATCTCATATGCTACAAAACCCAGAGCTTTGGGCTCTGTGGGAATCAGGTGCATCCCTGGCGTTCTAAGTCACCAGCGCACTGCACTGTCGCTGACCTGCGGCCGTTGGCACATGCGGTCTATTACAGTGCACTACGGTTCCGGCTGTTCGTATGCCGTGCTTGTAAGCGAAAGGACAAATAATTCCTGCAACTGTAATTAACTAAAGCAACTTTCATCGCATTGCACTCAACTGGGAATAGCTGCGCTTCCGGTGTAGGAATCCATGAACCCAGCACGTGCATGCTCTTGCCCTTAGCGGCAACACGCCCGAACCCGAGCCCTACGCCTTAAAGAGCCCTAAGCGCTAAACCCAGAAGCGCTCTGACCATGTAAAACCTATAAACCGGTATGTTGATGTCAACTCCTGCAATGTCTGGCAACTGACCATGGCTTGTGCATCATTAGCTCGCACGGATTCTTCAGCTGCCTCCTACTAGTAGCAAATCCACCTGTCAGTACGCCAGTGCGAGGGGCAAAAGCGGCATGCAAGCAAAGGAGTTGTCCGATTACCGACTCCGAGCTCCAGCGTACGGGGCCAAAACCAGTTGCGGAATGTCTGTGGACCCTTAAAGCGCCCGATACAACCACTCCAACCCACCCGCCCAAACAAATAACTCGAAGGGTGACCACGCGGAAGGTGGTCTATACCGCGACATAGTTTGGGTGCAGACTGTGACGATGCAGGAGTCTAGGGGTTCGGTTTAGGGTTTAGGGTTTAGGGTTAAGGGTTTAGGGAATCGTTGGCTGCTAAGTCATCAGCAAACTGGATGAAGTATGCAATGCTGATGTTACGTGCCGACGCAACCCCTAAACCCTGAACCCTAAACTCCAAGCTCAAACGTTGAACCGCGACAGTCAAAACCCGGAGCCTTCATCTCTACGCATGGAAGACTATGGACCTCGACCATTCCCGGCCTTCACAAACCCAATGTGTATGATCCCGGGGCCCTACACTCTATTCAGGAGATCCGAATAATCAGCGGTACGTACTATCCCCTGCTTGTCCCTGTCTATCGGTACAGAGGTACATATACACACATACTGAAACTTCCACCCTCGTTCTAAGTTTGCCAAGGAACCTTGTGCTCCGGGTCTAAAGATAAAGCCCCAAGCCACAAACTATAAGCCCGAAGCCCTAAACACCCTCATGGCTTTTGTCATACCCTTAACCCCAAACCCCTGAACCCTGAGCCCTCAACCCCTAAACCCTAAGCCACACATCCTGAAATAGCCTTGTTTGTGCAACAGATGGCCCGACAAGGGAGCTCGCGCGCAATGGCCTCAATGCCCGGGCACAAAAAGCACAGCAGAGTAGGAGGCTTTTTTGCTTAGAGGGTTTATCGGGTTTAAAGGTTAGTAGTAGGGTTTTAGGGTTGAGGGTTTATGGGCAGATCCCCAAAGTCCAACCCGTCAAATCTGAAGCCCTAAACAAAAAAAAACGACCGCAAACACCATGCATAATCTCTGGAGTGTGACCATACTAGTAGGATCCCGGCTGCCACCTTATCAAGGGACCAGGGCCTGTTCGTCAGGGCTCGTCTACATCACCTTTAACCTTGGAACCTGGAACCCCTAAACCCTAAACCCCCTTGGGCTTTACTGCCAAAGCCTCGACGCAAAACCTCCTGAGAGAAGTTGTGAAAAGGACCTCGCTGCAAGAAATCCTGTTCACTTTTTCGAGTTCAGTTTAGGGCTTAGGGTCTAGGGTCTAGCAGTTAGGCATACCGAAACCCGAATCTCTTTACTATGGCCCCTACCAAAACCCTGTAAAGCCGTAAGATAACCCGTCGAAATCTTCGCAAGACGTTGTGAAACCATGACCAAGCACGGATGAACAACCCAAAACACCCTTTCCTCATAAACCAACCTATGAAAGCCTGCGTAGACAACGCAAAAAGAATCGTTACAATGTTACAAGCCTGTGCAACCAAATCCTGGGGCTTTTCGGCTAGTATAGGGGCCTTAATAATCAGAAGAGGGTTTGGGGGCAAATTATAGTATAACCATACTAAGGAACCCCCTAAACCCTAAACACTAAACCCTAAACCCTAAACCCTACACCCTAAACCCTAAACCCTAAACCCTAAACCCTACACCCTAAACCTTAAACCCCAAACCCTATACTAAGCTGTCGGTTTAGGGGCGTATTGCTGAGATTTCAGGAGATGCTACAGGGCTCCGGTGGGTTCAAGCTTTGGGACCAGGGCTTGGGGTTTAGGGTTCAGG